AGAATTTATATTTATCATTGGTGATTTTTGTATGTGAGTAATTTGTATTGACAATCATTCTGGCCTTTAAGAATCCGAGTGGATACTCAAAACATAAATTTTGACTCCTTGACTGATGATTCCAAAGACATAGACAAACAGATCAAGATTGTGCACCCACCTGCCTGACTTTTCGGCCGTGAAAAGCCGGTTGGATACGTTGGCCACCAAGGCTGGGACACAGAACTGGTCCAGGGTGTGGGCAGCTCGCAGGGCGATCGATAGATTCTCGATGGCCGCATCGCGGAGAGACTCGAAGGCAGCGTGACCACTTCTTCCGGTTCCACTGCCCGGCAGCTTCTGGTTGTCCCCGTAGATAACGACCGCCGTCCGCGAATCCGAGTGCTGCACGGCGATCTTAAACGGGGTCAGCTCCTTTTCCTTCTTCTGCTGGGCCAGCGATTGCATGGCATGGTCATGCAGTTTGCCCAAAATCGGACTGGGAGCCACCAGGAAATCGCGCAGATACGATATCGAAGTGCCAGCGATATTGGGAAACTTCTGGGCCAGCTTGCCCAGACCCTCCAGACACACCATCAGCAGCGGCATGTGATCCATCACGATCTTGTGACTCAGCTCCAAGTTCAGTTTCTGCGACAGCCGGCCACACAACTTGTCCGCCTCTGTTTTGGGATGATTATCGGGGAAATGGATTAGTACTCACTATAATGGCATCATCATTTAGCTGTTTGCAAACAAGGAAACGAGGAACAAAAAGAGGATGAGCAGGATGTGGGTCTGTTGTTGCAGCATGCAGCGAACAAAGGCCAGGCAATTAACAATAAACACACAAAACCAAAATATAAAGTAGTCCATTCAAGAGGGGAAACCACAGAGAAAACCAACGGCTTAACAAATTTTCTGTATAAACCTCAAGTCGGCCAAATAAATCAAAGATTTCGACAATTTTGTAAAACGGGAATTAGTTTTCTACATTTCACTTGTAGTTTCCCCCTTAACGATCAGTTTTGTGGGTATAAAAATCGAAACTAGTTGGGTTTACACTGCTCTCTTGACCTTTCTTCAATAAAAATTGCAAGCCATTCTGCAGGGATGGCACATTATAGTCGACGTCAACTGAACCATATTCCGGGTTCCGGCCACCAAAAAAACAAAATTAAAAAAAAAAACTATAAGAAACTAAAAGAAATTAAGGGATATAACTGAAAACGAGTTAAAGAAAGAGAGAGGTGTAAGGTAAAGTTAAATTGTATTTATTGTTTAACTTAAACAATTATACAACTAAAACCCCAGTTTTTTGAAATTACCATTTTATACATTGTATTAAATAAATCCCTTAAAAAATCAATTTTTACCTAGAATTGTATTTGAATTTTGAAGATATACAATTTTAAGTTAAAATTTAATTAAAAGAAATGGAATAACTAAATTTCATTGATTGTTAACTTAAAATATAAATATATATCATAATTGAAATATACAAAAGGATCTTCAAACATGTATTGTAAAATAAATAAAAAAAAAATGTATAAAATAAAAAACAAAAATCTTTCAAATTGCAAAGCTAAAAACGATTGTTTTATACTAAACGTGTTAATATAAAATGAAATAAAAGTAATTTTTAGCCATCCCCCACTGACTATCAACTGTGCTACTTCCCTCTCTCTCTCTTTCGATCTGTTTTGCAATACATATAGCTGCTTAGATAGTCATTTTGCATTTGCATTTGCATTAATGCCGTAGCGTTGAGCTGGAATTCGATGTCGATCGCACGTGGAGGATCTTCGCTTACCCGTTTCGTCGCGAATGGCCCAAACCAGGAGGTCGACGCACGCCGCATTGGCCATCACATTGACCTTGTACTTGTTGACCACCGCGATGCCGTTCTCCTCCCGCCGCTCCCGTTCCTGATCCTGCTGCTTGTTCTGCAGCTCCGTCTGCCCGTTGAGGAAGAGCCGCTTGACGAACTCCTGCACATCCTTGGTGAACGGGGTGGGCAGGTCGACCTGGTGCTGCAGCAATTCCCGCAGCAGGGTGACCAGAACCAGGTTCAGCGTTTCCGAGAAACTCTTGTAGCAGTAGCCCTTGATCTGGTGCAGCGAGAAGATGTCGCTGGCCTGCTCATCCAGATGCTCCAGCGTGTCCTTGGTGAGGAGTTTCTTGGACACCGCAAATATGGTCTGCAGATGCTGGATGGGAAACGGTGGCACTTGGTACAGCGGTCGTGGGCCACCCTTTGTGGGCGATTCGCAGACGCGCATATTGGGAAACTGATTGAAGCTGGAGCCGTAGCGTGTGAAGAAGTGCGTCCGTGGATCGTACGGCACGGAGAAGTAGCTGTGCAGCGAGGGCTTCTGTTGGTGGTGCTGTTGTTGTTTTCCCGCCGACCTGTGCCTGGCATCCTCATGGTTCTGGGCCTGCGCCAGACTGCCCGACATGGAACGCGGTATAATGGGTCGGAATTGATGTGTGCCCGCCGCCAGGCGTTCGCTGCTGCTGAAGGATCCGCCGCAGGTGCCACTGGCACTGCTGCTCGATCCGGTGCCGTCGCGCCCACCGCCCCGCTGGATGGGCAGCAGCTCGGGCGGAAAGATGCGACACAACAGGGGAGGATCATTGCTGGCATAGCGACCCATCGATCTGGCCAAACCGAAGAGCAGCGGCACCGTCGCCTTGCACAGGATAATCGGAGGCGGTGCTGAGCTGCTGTCCCTGCTCGACTTCACAATGTTGGCCAGAGCACCCAGCGTTTCCACTTGATTCAGGATGATCTCCTCGCGGGAATCCGGACACTTGGCCGCTATGTCAGAGAGCAGGGTGTTCAAACAGAAGCTAAACTTTTCCGCCGACGGAATGCGAATGCCTGGCAAATGCAAAATCATTAATCGATGAACTATGAACCACATAGACGTAGACCCACGTTCGACCTTGCTGCTCCGCGCATCGTCTATCCAGACGGCCTTGGGCAGGCACTTGGCCAGGCGGAGTAAGTAAGGCACAATCTGGCCCTCGTGCTGACAGCCGCTCTCCAGATAGTAGATACCCAGGGCTATCACCGCATCCTGGGCCCGTGTGTCCAGGCAAAAGACTCCGGCGGCATTCTCCTGCGGGCAATAGCGAAACAGGGTCAGCACCTGTGACAGAAAAAGCAATAATTAAAAAGAAGCCATATATGAGACAGGTGTATCAAGTATATAGTTTAGTTTCACTAGGATAGTCTTTCATTTGCCAACTGCAAAATCTATGAAACTATAATAAAACTAGAAATTATTGTTATTATATTATTCCTTTTTATAGGGCAATAGTTTCAGTTATGAATATTAACCTTTTAAGATTATAGAACATTGTGACAATCTGCCTTGTTAGTAATTCTTACTATATTTGAACTAATAAGTACGAAATAAAATAATTTACTGGGACCTTTCTGCATCATCACAATTCCAAACACCTAATATACTTTCCCTTTAAATAGGGCTATCGTTGAAGGTACGATTATTAAATTATAAAAATTATAGAGCACTGTGACTTATCTGTCTTGTTAGTAATTATACCTATAATTGATTAAATGGTACTAAATAAAATAATTTACTGGCACCTTTTTGCATTGTAGTCTAATATAAAATAAATATAATAAAATAAGTATTTCTGCACATAGTTTTTTCTTCTTAAAGGGCAACAGTTGATGTTACAAGTATTAAACTTTTAATGAATAATTTAGTGGAAACCTTTTCCTTTAGTTTAATGCCTCCTGAAGTAAGTATTTCTGAATTACAACAGTTTACAAGTGGTGTCTTTGCGAAATGTAAAGACACCCCCGCACCCACAACTTTACCGACCCCCCCGAGCACCCACACCCACACCCACGCATGTCTGTTTTATGGTCGCCGCTCAAGGTCAGTGCGAAAAGTCGATTGCCAGGGCAACTGGCTGAAATTCCAGAGCACTGGGTGGCCAGTGGGTGACATGGGACTGGGACATGTACCTTCTCCCAGGGAGTCGGCTGAATCCCAGCCAGAACGCGGGCCAAACACAACACGGTCCGCTGGTACGTGTATTTATCCGAGGCGGTCATCGTCATCGCTCCTCGTCGCTCCTCCAACTGGCGGACACCTGCTCCTCCTCCGTTCGTTCGTTTCGATACGATTCAGTTCAATTGGTTGTGTACCACACAATCGCGCTAGGCTTTCGTCATTTTCGTAATTCGCTCGTAAAAATATGTAATGAAATTAAATTATTTTCCTTTTTATATTAATTTAACTGTCAATGTGACCAGCGCGGACTGACTAAGAAATACCGCGGCGCCTGATAAAATACACAAAAATAAACCGCTTAACCCTTACAATGTCCGTCAAAATAGCGACGAAAATGGAAGACGCAATATTTTGAAATATTTTTGAAATCATGAAAGTACATTACAAATCCAAAATGCAAGATTGTTTAGCAAGGAATAAATAATTATGTTACCTAAAGTTTAATGAACTATCCTCATGAAATAAAAAGAAATTTGCAATTATTTTAGAAACTTTTTGTTTAATATAAGCAATACGGTACAAGCAATACGAATATATACGGGCTATACCTGAAAGAATCCTAAATAGACGTAAATAATCACCTGTCGAATCCCAATATAGAACTAAAACCTTACTTACAGGTAGCCTAATTTCATAGGACATACAGCTCAAAAATACATTTTTGAACCTTCTTTATAAAAATAAAAAAATATATTAAGCGAAAAACTGTTAATTACCATAGTTGCCAGTTAGCTTGTACTTTTTAACTTGAAGTTGACTTTATTGTACATATGTAAAAGTAAACATGGGTAAAAAAATGACCGTTATAAATATGAAATTTGAAATGGGCTTTAATTGGTAAAGTTATGGACTAAAATTATGCCACTTTAAAATAAATGAACAATAAAAAAAATATTTCTTACAAATAACAGAGTCTGGGATTTAAAAAACTATTAACGTAGTTGGCCTTTAAATATATGTAGATCACTTGTTACGATGTTAATCAAACCTCGTAGATTATAAGAGGTCTTAAAAATAGTAAATCTTCAGGTAACCTAAATAAAACCCGTTAAAATGAATGTGAAGAAAGCCCATTTGGCAATGTTCGGGATAACGATCGGTATAATAATAGGCTGCATGGCAATAATCACGATATTTGTCGGCTTCAAACACGAGATGGTCAAGTTCAAAACCATGTTGGTGAGCATGGTGATAGTGCTGATGTTCCAATTCCTGATAGGGGATCCCATAAAATTTGTGGTCCTGGCCATCGACAGGACGTTCTGGCCGCCAAGTCTCTATATTCCACCGCGCAGCGATAAAGGAAAGGAGCACGATCGCAGGGATTTCTTGAAGCAACGCCTGAGCAGCCAGAGAGCCAATTTGGGTATATCGTCGCAGTATAGAAACTGGAAACTAAACGAACAGTACAAGCTGATCGCCCACGATCTCTTCACCTATGGCCAGTACTTCCTTTGCCTGATGTGCATGATCCTGGTGACGCGCGATGAGACCCTCTATCACAATACCCGCATCATCAAGGAACTGTTTATGAACAATCACACCGATTATACGGGCCTGAAGGAGGTATACTTTCTGAACCAGTTGTACGACTTCATTGAATCCACGCTGGTCATTGCATTCAATTCGAACTCGAGCGGTGGAACTGCCACCGGTTGGGCTCATTCGGAGCAGACGGTTCTCCTGGGAGTGATTCGACTGCGCCAGCTAAGAGTAATCGATCCGGATATCGGGCTGAGTCCACCGCAATTCTCCGAAATGTACTACATGCCCGATTGGCAACTTCCCTACCGAAGACTGCACTATGCGGATAAATATTGGCGCATCTATGAGCCCTGGATACCCATCACGGTGAGCTTCGAGTTCCTGGACGGCCTGCTCATGAACTTCGATCATGTGGGCTCCCTCAACAGTTATCCGGAGCTCTCCGGCTACGTCAGTCTGCTGGCCAGGAGCACGGCGAATAGCATGAAGGTAGGTGATAAACTAATTTTTCCAGAAAAAGGGATACCCATAATCCTTTTCACAAAATCGGGTTGTGGTTGTGGTTGTACTTTTACAGTCCTCTTACAGCCAATTTTCCAAAATAGTTTTTATTTTGATCAAAACATTAAAAAAAAAACCATCAATAATTATTATTTAACCTTTTTTTTGTATCAAAAAACAATTTATTTTTTCTAAAAAATAATCATTATTTAAAGAATTTTGAAATTTTAAAAAAATAATCATTATTTGTGTGATTTTTAAAATAAAACTTATAATTATAGCGTGTTTGTTTAATAAGGATCAATCGATAACCTTTTAGAAATACGTTTATTTGTAATTCTAAAGAAGAACATTATACTTTTGATTTCATTCCTTTTTTCAGAAGTGCAAAACCCCATTTTGTAGGTATACATCTAAAATTCTCCATTAATGAATTTCCCAAGCGGAGTACCTCATTTGTAGGGATTCCTTTTTTTTTTTTTAATATAAATATATAAATTCCTTACCCAAAATAATTATGAAAACCCATCCCAAAGGTGTTGGACTACCTCAGCGAATACCACTGGCTGACCCTGAACACCTCGGCGGTGTTCATCGACTTCACGCTGTACAATGTGGACGTGAATCTGTTCAGCATATGCACGTTGCGGCTGGAGAAGACCCCATTCGGGGGCACCGTGCCGGACGTTCAGGTGGAGAGTGCCAAGCTGCTGGAGAATGTGGACCAGATGCCATTCGTGGGGTTGCTGGCGCTGATCATCTATGTGGTGGTGTTCATCCAGTTCGCCCAGTCGCTGGCCATCAAACTGTGGTACGAACCGGAATTGCTGCAGAGCATTTGGAACAAGTTGGACCTTTTCATCTTTCTGCTGAATGTGATGGTGGTGGTGTTAGTGGTGCTACGCGAGGCCCTGGTGGCCAATATGATGAAGAAGGTCGAGGGTGCCAGCAAGATGGAGTTTATTGACTTCAGGCGGCCGTCGCGCATGCATCAGTTGACCACGATCACAATTGGCTTCCTGATATGCATGACCACGCTGAGACTGTGGCGGGTCATGCAGTTCTCCAGTGTCTTCGAGCTGTTCACCAGGACCCTCTATTTGGCCTGGGCCGCGGTGGCCAGCACGGCCATTGCCATCGTTATTTTCCTCATGGGCTTCTGCTTCGCCGTGGTCACCATAAACGGAAATAATAGCAACAACTTCAATCGGTTTGTCAAGAGCATGGTGATGTGCATGTGCTTTTCGTTTGGATTTAGTGCCCAGGTCAAGCCATCGGAATTGTTCCATGGTGGCAAATGGCTGGGCATTCTCCTATACGGTGTCTTGGCCTTCGTCATCATCGTGCTGCTGATAAATGTCTTTGTGTCGCTGATCAATGATTACTTCACCATTGCCAAGACCATGAGGGACTCGGAGAAGGAGCATCGGATCAATTTCTTTGAGTTTCTGCGCATTGAGTTCTCGGGCTTCTTTAATTTCATCCACAATTTGCCCTGCTGCCGGCGAAATTACGTCCGTAACAGGCGCACGGTGGCGGAGAATGTGAGCCGGAAACTGAAAGCCATTGATGCCAAGACCATGATGCAACAGAGGCAACGGCGGGGCTATCAAGAGGCTCACCGACAAACGGACGAAGAGGCCGAGGTGGTGTACAAAGATCGTGGCGAAAGGATAATCAACGTGGGCAATATCCTGAACACCCAGTTAACCCTGCTCAGCATGCTCCTGTTCGACGATGATGATGTAGATGAAGTTCAGCCGGAAACCCAGGAGTCCAAAGAGGCTGAGGAGAACGAAAAGTCCAAAGACAAGGATCAAGCAGAGGCCTAAAAGGTGGATCTAGTTGTTAACTTTTAACAGAACAAGTTTATTATTTGTTAAATTGGGTGCTTTTGTAAATTCGTTGATTGAATAAAGAAGAATCAGTGTATCTGCATCTTAGCTTACACATCCTCAGCTTAAATGGAATGCATTCTGCTTTATGTGATCGTTTATAAACTACAATAAACAATCAGTAGCTAGAGTTATTGCATGATGAACCTGCTAAATATGATTAAATTACATCCAAACTGTAATTGCATTATATAGGTATAAAATATAAATTATCGGGGTATCAAATATAAATGGAATAACACCTATAGCTTCTAATTACACAAAATATCCACCACTTAAATGAACTAACGTTGAACTAATTGGGCTGCTTAAAGTAAAAGCAGAACATTAATGAATAAATCCGCCGGAATACTTCGTTTGGCAGCTGTGTTAACTAACTTAGTCCTACAATCTATTTAGTCTTTGGCTCAAGCGTCGCATGGGCGTTGGTGGTAAATGGTGGTCCCCCTTGTTTTATCTCAGCTTTTAGTGGTCCGTGGTGGTGGTGGTCTTCTTCGAATGACGCTTATGCAGCGCATCCTGGGAGTCCGGCTTGCCACTGCTGGATTTCTTAACCAACACCAGTTCATCGGAATCCGCATCGCTCAGTGTATCACTGCCGACGTCCGCAATGCCGGACTTATCACTGTAGGCAACCAGGTCATCGTCATCATCCCGCAGGCTGCTCGCTTTGGAGAGAACTACGCCGGGTTCCAGCGACTTCGTGAGCCGGGCGTATTTGATTTGCAGGCTGTGCAGCCAGCTGGCGTCGGACCAGTGGTACCAGCTGAGCAGAAAGATGACCAGTATAAAGAATAGATTGGTGCTAATGGCTGGAAGACAAACAATAAGGATTAGCGGGGAACGGCAAACGTTGAACATGAAGAACAACATACCCACTATGGCCGACAGCACGGGCCAGTTGAACATAATGTATCGCAGACCGGTAAAATCGGCCACTATATGCAGTGTCACCGTGTAGAACTGGATCTTTTGGGACTGTATCTCCACATAGACATCCGTAATGGGATGCTGTCGTTCCTCCAGATACCGTGAGAATATCTCCACCGGAACCTGCTGGAACTCCTCCTTCCAGCCCAGCACATAAAGCGGACTCAGTGCCCAGGTGGAGATCATGCGGATCAGCGGCGATCGATACCGCATCATGGCAGATCGGCAGGAGTGACCCCTCAGCATCGAATCGTAGTCCCTCATCTCGGCGCACACCATGAACATGCCCAGCTCCAGGTTCTGCGGCGATTCCGGCATATCGATGTTCACGATCACCTTATAGGCCTGGCCAACCATCAGGAGCTGTTGCTTCTTCGTCAGCGAGACGTGGGCATGGGGAAAGGTGCAGGGCGTGCTGGTCTCTAAGCAAGTTCTGCGGATGAAAAAACGGCATTATTAATATAGGTTTTTCATTTATATAGAAGTGGCTACCAAGTCTAGAAAGCCAGATAACAATAATAATTGTAAAGGGCACACAAGTGGTAATTGTATCAAACACAACTTGATAGATAGACTAATTATGGTCATATTTATGAACCTGGGTCCCAAGACCCTTTTCGGACATATCTTTAAATAAATACATATAAATTTAAAGATTTGTTAGCGCAATTTGTTTGTAAAAAAAAATACATGTTATAAAGCTTACACGTGGGAATTTATTGACAATATCTACCAACTTAAAATTCAACATTCATAAAAAACTAAAAACCTGTATATACTGGGTAAGATATACGGTAAATCCTTTGGCGATCCGAAGTATTCTTACTGAATTTAGATTTAAATAATTCTCTATATGAGGTGGATTGTCAGGATAGGGATTTATGGATAATCTAGGAATTTGTTAAGCGTTTGTAGAGTATTGTTAGGTATGTATATTTATTACTATTTGATTTCCTTAAGCCATGAACAGCTTCAAGTCAAAAATAATGTTCTGTAGATGTTGGGCAAGATCTCCATTAGATCTTCCAGTGAACCGATTTCCATTATTATTATTATTTCCATTATTCCTACAAAATCTCCTCCGAATTTCGACCTATACTCACTTGAACTGCATGTGGACGGGGCGTGTGTGTGATATGGCCGGCATGTAGACGTAGTAGAAGGCTGCGTACATGAAGACTGCCAGCCAGATGATGAGCACTACGGCAAAGGCGATGAGGCCCATCCGGAGGACCAGTTCGCGGACCGTGCCCACCTTCTCGTCCGCCTTGCTCCGGACGCGATCGTACACGTTCCAGCCCAGATTCAAGGCCGGGCGGATGAGGAAGCGGCGGCCCAGGCCCAAGGGATCCAGGCAGAAGACCACGAAGCGCAGCAGGAAGTTCATGGTGGTGGACTACACTAAATGCAACTGAAACTGAAGAGCAATTAAGTAAACTAAGCTATTTTGTATTTCCCTGCTATCAGCACTGTCGATTGCTTATCGATTCCCGATAGTGGCCTGCGCTTCGTTGTAGTCCTCTCTTGCCGGAGAGATTTGCATAGTTTTATGGTTCCCAATGGGCTGATTCATATATAGCTAAAGCGCTGCGGTCCTACGATTCACGAGCCAAACGTTGTGCCAGCTCAAAGGTCAAAGGTCAGTGCCGAAACGATTTTGTGGGTGTTTTATTTCCAATTTGAGACGTTGTTTGCAATGATAGCGGAATAATAACACTGGCCAACATGCTAGCGAGGATCGGGCCAAGATTTGTACTCTATTCAATTATTTATTAAATGTTTTACACCAACGCCACAGGTTTAAAAATAAGGTATTAGTTATTATTTTTCTATTTTAGGAAATAACTTATATTAAATAAAAAATAAAAGACTTCAAAATTAAACTTATGTCGCTGTTTATTTAAATTTTATTTAAACAATGCTTTGAGGTGTGTCCATAATTTTTAAAATGAATTAATTAATCTTAAGACTGACTAGTAAATATTCACTTTAAAACAGAATTTTATTCATGTTTCACTTTCCCCAAAATGTTATCGGTTATCGACTTGTTGCACAGTTTTGCTGGCAAGTGTTCAAGCCCCCAAACAGCTGTTCCATGCTATCGATAATCGATAACCGATACCACCCGACTGTTTTCATTGTTTGTGTACAAATTACACATTTTTTTCATGCAACATAAAGTTATATTGAAACGAGATTAATTAAACAACTAATTAATTTAATGCCAATGCTGATAAACGAGTCTGGGGATTGAGTTGCAAGAAAAGTGAAATCGTGTAAATGCAGATAAAGTGAGCGAAACAGATACAGATACAGATACAGATTGAGATTAAGACATATAGAAACTGGGGATGAGCAACTACCGTTATCAAGGGGGCGGTGTCGGAGGCGGGAGCGTGGCCGGAGGACGCGGATACAGTGGAATTGAAGTGCGGGAGGTGATGCATCCGCATCATTTCACATATGTGAGCCAGTGCGTCAAGTACATGATCTTTATGCTGAACTTTGTGTTCTGGCTATTTGGCGGCTTGCTCCTGGGCATCGGGATCTACGCCTTCAAGGACAAGTGGGAGGAGGCCAACGGATCGGTGCGACTGGAGAACTTTTACGATGTCTTTCTTAACATCTCCCTGGTGATGATCCTTGCCGGCATGGTCATTTTCCTGGTCAGTTTTTCCGGTTGCTTGGGCGCCTTGAGGGAGAACACCTTCCTGCTGAAGCTGTACTCCATGTGCCTGCTGCTCTTTTTCCTCATGGAAATGGCCATCGGTGAGTCATCGTGGGCTTTGGGATCTGGTTTGCATTTGCAGTGCCATTACTAACCAACTGTCTCCCTTCTCCATCCACAGCCATCATATGCTTCGTTTTTCCGCAATACATGAACACCTTTCTGGAGAAGCAGTTCACGGACAAGATCATCCATTCGTATCGCGATGATCCGGACCTGCAGAACTTTATTGACTTTGCCCAACAGGAGTTCAAGTGCTGTGGCCTCAGTAATTCGGGCTACCAGGATTGGAGTGAGTTAATAGATAGATCATAAGGAACTTTCAGAGAGACTTAAATAGTTTAGCTTGGATTGTGCGTAAATGGTGTTGAGTCTTAAATTTCAGACTACTGATAAAATGGAATGACAAACCGCAGAAATTTTTTTAACGAAACCACACTGTTTGTTTCGCTAGAAATATAATGCTTATCTTTAAGCTAGAAACCAAAATTTCATGGACAAATTTCGATACAACGAAACAACGAAAATTTTAGGATATCGTTACAAAGAAACACAGGAAATAATTAAAGACACTTCTCAGCGTCATCCAATTAATTATTAGTAATTTGTAAAATATTAAATTGATAAGACTTCATGTTGTGATATTTGCAGGCAAAAATGAGTACTTCAACTGCAGCTCGCCGTCGGTGGAGAAGTGTGGAGTACCTTACAGTTGTTGCATCAATGCCACCGATATATCCTCCGGACTGGTGAACATCATGTGCGGTTATGGAGTCCAAGAAACTCCAGTACCGGAGGCCAGGAAGCGGATCTGGACCAGCGGATGCATCGAGGTCGTGAGAATTTGGGCCGAGCATAATCTGTACGTGATTGCCGGCAATGCCCTGGGCATCGCTCTCATTCAACTGCTGGTCATCTATTTGGCCAAGACGCTGGAGGGCCAAATCGAGCTGCAAAAGTCGCGTTGGTCCGCGTGAGATCCGGGTCAGCCCGAATTTTACGGGCCCTATGATCACACCTGAATGTTCACAATGGATGTTCACTCAGAATCCCTAGTTTTATATATACCACTCATCTACGAATAGACTGTCACAATTCATGAACCATAGACAAAAATGCTGGCAATAAGTTATCATTATGAAACTTTTAGCCAGTAGTAAGCATTATATTGCAAAAATTTCTACATGAACTCCAAATAACAGTCTTAAAGTAAGTGAGGCATCCATTTGTCATATTCCTATTTAAATTTTTTTTTTAATTTGTACCGTGCAATATTTATTTTGAATTTCTTCCGAAAGACAAATGAACAATGCTGTATTTACACTTGTATTATATTATTTTAAAATCCATCCGATATGTTTATAGATTTAAGATATATAGTTTCTGAGATTACTTTCAGTCTTTAATATTTTTGTTATTATCGATTCAGTATAACGCATATTTTGTATATATATATTTATATATAACTGTACACACCAATACTTTTGTAAACTCTTCTCAATCCGTATACTCCATATGCTCATCTCAATCCGACCAAACAACGCCATAATATATGTTTGGCCAGTGAATAGCTTGATAAATCTCAATGCATTTATTTAAACGTAATGTATTTAGAGTAAAAAACAATAACCAACAAGGCGCACAAATCTTGAATATCAGCAATTTTTGAATGTATTCTTAATCTAGAACCTACAACTGTAGATTTATGATAATAAAAGACGAAAATAAAGAAAAATTGTTTTTATTATTTTTTATATTTTGCTACATAAAAAAAATTTCTGCTTATATGTTGTTTATCATTTGCAAAATATATTTTGTTTTACTTATTTGCGGTTGAGTTGCCATTTAGTTAAGAAATGGCTTTAAAAACTTATAAAAATATATTGAATGCTTTATAAATAAATATACTATATTTTACAATACAAATAAAAACGGCTGTTTGTTGAAACAGCTGTTTTAGGTCGTCAGACGTTTGGGGAATACCCAATTTATTTCTATAGTTTTGTTTATTTACGAGGCAACACCTGGCTATAGCCAAAAGAAAGCTATAAAAAGCTAAAATTGCAGGCACCTGCCATATTCAAAACTAAAAAAACGAAACTGGTTATAAAATAGAGGTCTTGCCAACACTGACTAGAGGTGGATCATTGTTTTCATCGATAGTCGCCAAAAAAACATCGATGTATTGATGTTTTTCCACCTCTAACACTGACAGCTGTTCAGCATTTAAAAGCAGACGGAGCACGTGTTAACATTAAATATAAAGGAACTAACTGAAAATAGCTATAAAGATTAAAGAAACATGAAAGAAAAGGTGGATAAAAGCATGGCCAATGGTGAAACAATCAAAACAAAGAACAAAAAGGAGCGCAAACGTGCCAAATCTTTCAAATCTGAGGAGGAATCGGAGGGTACAGGAAAACCAGGTAAGATTCCAAAGGTGTCAACCAAGAAGGAGAAGCCCTCGGAGCCCGAGGAAAAGGAGAACACCCCGAGCAATGGCCCAATGAAGGTTTCCCAGATCAACAAAGCTGTTTTCGGAATCTTCAAAAAGATCCAGGGCAGTCCGTTGAGCCAGAAGACGATTAATTCCTTGGTGGTGCTGCTGCGCGATGACACGAATGAGGAAGAGGTGGGTGCTCCTTGGGGTAATCAGTTAAACAGTTCTCCAGCCTAATCTTGAACTTGAACTTATGCGGTTCCAGCGCATTGCAACAACTTGCTATGTGCTCAAGCGTTTGATTCGCTCCACGGGAGCAGATGACTTGAACGCAGTGGCCCAGTCCGCCAGTTATATGCACTGCATCCTAAGCGCCGTGCCGGCCATCGATCCATTGGAGGTGCTGGAGACGCTGAAGCGGGACCTGGCCGTTGGCAGCCAGCAGAGGGGCAAAGAGGACTCCCTGGCCGCAGTGGGCCAGTTGGTCACGGCCTTTTGCATCCTTCAGATGCCGCTGCTCGCCCCACCGAAGCCCAAACTGATGGCGGCACTCTTTGAGGTTTTTGTATCCCAGCTTAAGGGCAGGGAGTACCTGGTGTCCCTGTGTGCGGACATATTAGCAGACTCCTTCAAAAAGGTGCGTGGGTGGTCAAGTGGTTGGGCATCCCTAATCACTAATGCTTACTTTTTTCGTTCTTTTCACAGGTTCCAGTTGCCAGTTTCGAGGAGTATGTGTGGCCACTGCTGCAACCTCAACTGAACAAGCCTTTGAGTGGCTTAAAGCTCAGCACCTGCGATCTTCTGCTAGCCGTGCACCTCGCCTATCCCCTGATCCTGGGACGCGAGCAGCTCCTGACCAACTTGTGGCCCAAGAAACCGCAGTACGTTCAGCTCTTCGAGCTCTATTACTCCGGCTCCACAATACACAATGATGGTCTGTACGCCAGATTGGCCGAATTCCTGGTCGGAGGCGGAAAAGATTTGCTCGTCGCCTGGCAGCAGTTTATCGATGCCAAGCAGCCCCTTAAACTGAATGCAGCCAAGGCTTGTGCGATTCAGGTACTGGGTAACATACTGCTGAACTTTAAGGATAAGGATGAACAGCCCATCTTGGATTTGTTCTCACCCACATGTGTGAAATTTGTGCTGCAGGAATTGTCCACCGTAAAGGGAGACAAAAGCGAGGCCAAGAAACCCTCGCAAAAGGAACTGCGTGAGATTTGCTACAAGTTCGAGGGTTCCCTAGTTCTTGGTTTCGAGAAACAGCTGCAAGACGAGGAGATCAAGCTGCAGCTGCTGCTCAAATTGCTGGATCAGAGACTGCAGTTGGATACGGTCATAAGCTTGCCCCGTTTCAGCCAGCAGTTGATCAATCAATTGAGCATTGAGAGTCTGCAGAAGCTCTACGAATACTACAGCAATTTGCTGATTACTTTGGAGGCTGAGGACAGGGTGAGCCGAGTGCACTGCCTCAACCAGATGCAGTTGATCCTGCAGCACACGAAACTGGACAAGGAGGCCAAGTGGCGTCAGAAGCAGTTGCGTCACCTGCTGCTCGCTGGCCTCTTTCACTTGGGCGCGGATGGGAAGCCATGTGAGGCTACCAGCGCCAGCGCTTTCAGTCGCCAGTGCTCGGTGCGTTGTGAGGAGATCTTTCTGGGCTCCCTGCTGCACAAGTGCTCGGGTCTGCCGGCACTGTGCAAGTTGCTGCAGAAAACCTTGAGTTATCTCAACAAAGAGTTGGCCAAACCCGATGTGGACAGCAAACTGCATTCGCCCAGGGAGGAGGGCTTGCAGAAGGCCTGGAAGAAGGTGGAGAAGCTGCTGGCAAATCCCAGTGAGGAATCAGACGTCGTGGGCCAAACTTTCGAGGCTCTCATCTTGTTTGTTTCCTTGGCCTTGTGCACCAGGAGTCCCCTATCCGTTACCGTATTGGATGACCTGATTATCTGCCGTAAAAATGCTCTAGAGAAGGGCAAGAAAAAGGTGAAGACGAAACCAAATAGATTGTATGAAACCCATTATTAAATTAACATTTTTCAGGCTGACGAGGAACTAAGATGGCAGGATGTGCTCACGGATGCCCTGCTTCAGTTGCTCCTGCAAACGGGTCATTTTTGGCGTGAGTTTGTCAACCTGGTGGCCACCGCTTTGATTCCCCACCTGGAGCCAGCCAACCTGGAGCAAATTCTGGAAGTGCTCAATATGAACAAGAATCCATTGAGCAAGAAAGACGAGGGCGAAGAGGAGAGCGATGAAGAAATGGAGGAGGAGCAGCAACCGGAAAATTCCAGCGATGATTCAGATGGCGACGATGATGATGATGACGAGGAGGATGAAGATGAAGAGGACGATGAGGAGTCCCATTTGGCCCAGATACGCGAGAGCGTTCGCCAGGCCCTGGTCAACGATGGCGATGCCGATGACGACGGTGCCAGCAGCGTGGATTGGAACGATGTGGACGAGGAGCAAGGTGAGCGATTGAATGCTGCTCTTGAGCGTTCTTTCCAGTTGTTCCGTCCCAAGTCGCGCAAGGCTCAGGCCAAGGAACGACCCACCAAATCGGAGCGCATTGACAACACCAGTCTGCTGCACTTCCGCGTTCGCGCCTTGGACTTGCTGGAGCTGTTCGCCACCAAGAAACCAACTCAGCCGGTGATCCTGGACGTGCTGCACTGCGTCTTCCAGGTGTACCGCCATTGCAGTGGCGATACCAAACTGCAATCCTTGAGAGAAGCCAGCTTGAAGTTGCTCAAGAAGCTGCTGACCAAGAACATTGAGTTTGAGCCGAATCAGGACAAGGCACCAATTCTGGAGGCCATCGAGCAACTGATGTCGACTGGCGAGGAGCAGTCGGAAGAGGATCAAGAGCAGGGCGGCAAGCAGCAGACAAGCACCAGCCGTCAGGCCAAGGGAGAGGTCGCCATTTGGCGTGACAAGTGCTTTGCCTACCTGGTCAGCCAGGGATCGGCTGGTGGCGAGCCCAAGGACAGTGCCGTCTGGCCTCTGCTTGTCGAGTTCCTCGAGATGTGGGTGGCCAATCGACGCAGTCGCCTCTCGCTGGCCAGTTTTGAGGCACTCTTCCAGTCCGGTCAATGGCAGGGAGTTGCTCCACTTGCCGTCTTGTTGGCCTCCCATTTGGATGTGCAGAAAACACGCAGCTTTCGTCGGGCACAGATATTGAAGCTTCTTGGTGAACAATTCCGACGACTCGAAACCGCGCTCAAGGATAACCGCTCGGCCGCCAAGGAGTTCGAGAAACAACTGGCCAGATATGTGGAGCAACTGGAGACGGAGGCCAAAAGTGTCAAGGAGCTGAAGCTGCTGCAGAAGATCCTGGCCCAGGGTGGCCCCAAGCGTGAGAAGCTGCTGGAAAAGGTCCAAGTTCTGGGCCAGCAGTCTCAGCTCAAGAAGAAGGAAGCGAAGCAGGAGAAACATGAAAATGTGGAGGTTATAGTAGTGGATGACGATGAGGAGGAGGTGCAGGAACAGTCGCAGCAGCAGCAGGAGCACAAGAAAAAGAAGAAAAAGTCCAAGAAGGCCAACAAACAACACAAGAAAAAGAAATAATTTTACTGTAGAAGGCTATCCTGCTTAATATTAGAGTAACATTAAGTTTTTTGCTCTTAGGAAATATCTAATGTTGAATACTAAATTAGTATTAAAGCCAACAAATAATAAACGCGCAACTTTTTATAAAGTCCGCACAATAAACGTATAAATTGTTTTTATCTTGTATTTAAATAAACAAATTCAAATATTAACGAGATAATAAAATTTTAATTCAAATAACTATTTTAATAGATCAAATGCTAAACATTTGACATTATTCGCCATGAGTTGTTCCTTTTTTTAATCATAATTATATTTTCCAAATAAAGTTTATAAAATGGCAGTTAAGTCGTATTGAAGACATATGATTTATCATACTACGATTTGAAACAATCTAGAACTTGGACTTTAATAGGACCTTATTTGATTGCACATGGAAAATTTCGAATTGTTTTGGAGGTAAATCCTCTGACAGCCATTTCCTAACTACAAAATGTTTTGTGGATAATTATTTCACATACGATCACTAGCGAGGTGGAAAGTAGACGTGCTGTCGAAATGTGCTATTGAACTTGGGCACCATAGACTCATCGTTCTTTCCTCGCTTTTCTGCCACGTTGTTGGTGACAATCGTCAGGATATCGGCAATGTGCTCACTGTGAAACAAAGAAAATATGATATATAATCGAATCCGACTCTGCTCGTGCTTCAAAAGATATTTACGTGTCCGAATGCTGATCGATGGCATCGCACAGGCACTGGATGAACCAGCTGCCCTCGTGCGTGTGTCGTAGAGCAGCAAATCCATTCACCGTGGACATGGCCCGCACCATATTAACATGTTGCCCAGGCGACTGGGTGGTCACATCGATTTTAAACTGAAAATAGGGGATCAAATAATAAAATGATTGCCTAATTAAATCCCTAAAAATACGGCTTACAGGCAATCCCTGCTGACTCTGGTCTCCCTCCTCGGGAGCTTCCTCCTGGCAGGCCTGAATGATCAGCAACTTGGGCTTGTTGTACAGGGTTTCGTTGCTGCAGAGCACGTTCTCGATGTCCGTGATGCGCAGGGCGATGCTATTTGCTCCGTAGACGGCCTCCTCGAAACCGTGGCTCAGGATGCAGACCACCAGTGAATCTTGCAGCAGGGATCTGTCGCAGGCACTGCGTATGAGCTGCACAATGCCCAAGTGATCCACGTCGGAGTGCGACTCCACATTGTAGCCCATCGAGGAGAAGACCTCCCTAAGTCGTCCTTCATCCACATCTGTGCCAACGCGGTCTCTTAATTTTTTGGGTGAAATATATTTCTGTGGAGTGGGAAGATATGTATGTATATGGACGTTCAATTTAATATTATAACAGAAAGCTAAAACTACCTCGAGATCTTCGCTGACTTTCCGATGGAACTTCCTCTGGTTGATGATTAAAGCGATGCCGGCGTTTTCCCGACTTAACTCCAAGGCATTCCTTCGCCGGAAAGAGGATGCTGTTGAGACCGCTGACGACGTGGTGCCCCTGGATGCCTGCGGACTATCCGATAGCGTTTCCGGCTTGATGGTGGTCAAAAGGGGATCGACCACTGCCGCCACCTGATCCGCGTCCGAAGCATTACTATTGATTGTATCGATGAGCAACTTGGCGTGCTCCTGCAAATCGTTGAATTTGAAATGTTCAATCAGCAGCTGAACATCGCTGCCCGTGGCATTGATGTCGCCCAGCCGCAAACATTTCCTGGTCAGCCAGTCCAGCAGGAAGATCTCCAGATAGGTGGGATCATAGAAACGCAGGGGATCGCCTGCCTGCTGTCGCGCCACCTTTTCGCCAACATCCAGAACCAGGCGACCACTCTGCGCCAAAGACAACTCCTCACAGATCCTATAGAGGCTTTTCAAAAGCGGATGAACATGCAGGGTGATCCCGCCGACATGCGGCAAATAGTGCAGTCGCAGCTCCTGCCAACGGAGGCCCAATCTGCGGAGCACCTGACGCGCGCCAATGATACACAGAGCCTCCACGAGGTGTTTCCTCCACGTTTCCGGACGAGATTTGGCATACTGCATGAGCAGATCGCTCTGCGGGAAATCCGATCGCGTCATGGGCAGTAGTTTTTGCAGTATATAGGTGGCATTAGAGTGATCATCGCCATAAAGCAGAAAGCAGACACCCACCTGAAGGAAATATCACTTGAATTAATAACTGTAGTCAATAAAAACTTAAAAATGGGTTTGTAAAGTATGTTTTTTCTGGGCTGAAATTATATTTAACATAAATTTAACAACTTTTTAGCCTCAAGTGTCATTTTTTCAAAAACTAAGAATTATTTAATACAACTGATGTATTTTTTAATATATTTCTCAGTAGATAAAGTACTCTTCCGCAAGTTGAATCATTTAAACCTCCGGATTGAGTCATGTTTTTCTAGTTCCTTGGGGAAGTTGGCTCACCTTTTGGGCAAAGTTTAGATCCCGCTCCACATAGACCAGATCGTTCAGATCGATGGCGTCCAGTTGGTTCAGCAGATTCGATCCGGCCATTGTGTCGCCTCAACACGGGAAAGTACCAAATTCGCTTAAAATGCGGGAACAGAAGAAAATGCCTATTGGCGCAATAGAGAAGGACCGCACAGCTGATCGCGTGCTATCGAAAAAAATCGATAACAAAAGCCATACATTAGGGAGGAGATAACTTCATATAATAAAAATAACTCAATTAAACTTAATACAACCCGAAAGCTGATTTAATATTTTACCATTTAATCCCAAAGCTATAAAATGTTTGTATTATCTTCTTTTACAAACAAGCTTGCCATACAAATTGTCGAAATCATAAAAGGTTTGCTCCCAAAAGCCTCGAGTTAACACTCAATTCGGAATTTATGAATTCCTTGAGAAGCTAAAATTTTAACATCTTGTACAGCGTCTTAAACTTTTAATTTGGCTTTTTTAAGCTTTGAAGTCCTTAAGCCTTTAGTCGTAAACTAAAAAATTGTGGATAATCATATATATATGAAGGTAAGGTTTATTATATAAGAAACAATTTTACTTGTACCATGTTTGTTTGATTTTGCAACTAAATTTTCACTCCACGGGTATTTGAATGAAAAAGACCATTTTCAGCATTGCTCTTAAATTGACATTTATTATAAAATAATTCAAATTTTACAAATGTCTGGCAGCGCTGGCACCAAAGAGAAATCTGGCAATTGGCGCTGCCAGATCGAAGATACCTGCGGTCTGGTAACCATCCATGCGATAATATCGAATAAACTACAAGCGGTCACACTAAGTAGAATTGTTGAACTGTTAACAAAATCACGCTCCTGAAATTACTCATGTTTTGGACGAGACGAAAAGTTTTATTAATTTAATGTTTTTGTATATTGTATTCTGTCCATGAGCGTATCAGAGACAGACAGAGAGGAAGGGAGAGATACATACTGAGATACAGGGCCCGCAGGCAGAGAGACAGAGAGGGCGAGAGCGAGCTAAAGCGGATGCGAGCGAGATAGCGCGCGCTCGCCGCACGCACACATACATATATATAGTATCAGAAAAAACCAAGTCGAAAAAGGTCGCTTTTCGATTTTGCGAAAACTTCAACGATTTTTTCATACCTATATATGTACCCACACAACCGCTGCGTCATCAAATACGTATACATAAGATGTATGTTAATATCTATGTATGGCCTCTAATATATGCCATATATGCCAGTATATATATCTTATTTCACCTACTGTACCACTTCCACATTATGTAAGCAGAAACGCCAAAAAATAACACTAAAACAGGAAAACCGAAAAGCAAAACAACGAACCAAAAAAAGTACCTATAAACCGAAAACCGAACAGTAATGTTATAAACCAATACCGAAAAGTTTTAAATGTTCCACATAAAAAAAAGAAAACAGAAATCGCACGTAAAATCACGCTAAAAAAAAAGTAAGATCGAAAAAAAACGAAATGTTTGATTGTTTGGCATAGTTCCGAAATATCTGTATGTACTCCACTGTATATGTACCTATGTATGTCTGTATATATACATATGTATGTATGTTCCTCTGCGAACACGCCCCCCTCACCTGCGTGAGAAAGGGACAGATGGCGCAATTTATTGGAAGAAAGCATATATACATACATTTGTTTTTGGAACGCCCGCAAAAAGAAAACAAACAAATATGCGTGCTTTTTCGTTCACTGTATGTATGTACAAACTTACAAACTGCGCAGCTGTTTAGGACACTCATACACACGACTGCCATTTATAGTCGCACTTAAACAAATTCGCACAGCAAACAAAAAAAAAACTTTCGCCTCAAGTGTAACCATTAAACATTTATCTTTTTGTGTTAAAACATACGCTCAAGAAACATAATAATTAACTAATGAAAACATTCTCTTTTTCCCAAAACACAAGCATATTTGTAACTTTGCCTTGTTTATATGTATTCTCCGCTTAGGTCGTGGATGTGCGAGAGAGACAACATGATAAACAACCGCGAGTCAGAATGAAACACGCACTCATTATGTGTGTGTGTGTGAGACATGTTTGTTTTTGTAACGTTTGTTAATTGATTTGATGGCACACTTTGGTTAAAAGTATACAAATATAAAATAATTTGTATGCAAAACTTAAGTCCCAGATACACACATACATGTCATAACACAGAGATGCGCGTGTGGCTTATAACGGTTGTTGTCTCATTCGCACAATATCAAACAACAAAAAACTTGATGTTTCCAAATTCGCTGGAACTTTTTGTTGCTGTGGTTTTGCTGAATTTCGCTTTTCTACTTCCGGAAATTGTTTTTCGTTTTTCAAAATTTAAAAAAATACAAATTACATTTTTAAGAAAATACTTTAAAGTGCCATGTTTTATGTTTTCATTTAATGCTTTGAGATGTTATACGCTAAAATTTGATTAACAGTTTTAAATAAGATTATTATAAATATAATTATATATTATTAATATAATAGATTTTATAATATATTTTATATAATAATATATTATTATATATTTAATTATAATTATTTTATAAATTATAATAATCTTTTTCAATATTTTAAAAATAGCTTTGAGTAAATTTGTACATTTAAGGTATATTTATAAATTCAACTTTGCCAATTTTAAATTGCTGCCGAATAAATTGTCAATCCACATTAAGCCAATTAGTATCCAAAGTATTTATAATTAACACATACAAATACAATTTGTGATGTCAAAATACAATTTTTAATAATGGTATTTACTCCGTTTAAAATTAACAAATATTGGCAATTTTGAAATTTTAAGCTTTATTATTTTAACGCTTTTTTTAACATATTTGTAGAGTAAAAGTTAAATTAAACAAAAAATGTTGAAATATTCGTGATTTTATAACTTTTTTTTTTATTTTACTTTATAAAACTATTTATGAAGAATTTGTGCCTCAAATCCCTTTAATTTTAAAAATAATACAAGAAGAAAACCTTTTCGAAGCCCAAATATTTGGGTTTTGGGATCACACTCCCATTTCGATTCATCAGGGACGTTTGCTTTTTGTGTTAACTAATTTCACACAGCAATTAATTCAGTTTTTAGTTTTCGATCACATGTGGTTAGGTTGGGGAATATTCATTCACCTCTAAATATTTCGATATATATACACATATAGGGCTTTATAGAGATCGTTTCTTATATCCATGTCCTTTACAAAATACCCTTGTATTCCAGCCATTGATATCTAAGCGATAAATACGAAAATGTCATTGATTTTGTCCGATCCGCCGGTGATCGATTTGGCGGAGGATTTAGAGGATGGTGAGATCGACGACGATGACGAGGAGGAATCGCAGGTGCCGCCGCCAAAGATCCAGGTCCAACCAAAAAAAATTCCGGTGTGGATGAAGATGTCCAATTCGTAGGCTTCGAGGTGAAGAACAAACCTGGCGACGAGGATGTCGTCTTTTTGGGATTATCGGCCGATTCTGGCGGGCCACAGAACAACAATAGCAGCAAGTCCAAGAAACCGAGGCCATTGGAAGGTAAAAGCTCATAGTGGGGTTAGGATTGGACCAGGTCTAATCTATATTTTGATATCTTTGAAATTCGCATAGATGACCACGCTAGCAGCATTGAGAATGCCATAGCCAATGCCTTGAAGAAGAAGGGCATAGAGCCACCAATGCCCAGGATGCGTTCGTCCAACCACGACACGGGCGATGGGTCCATGGAGGGATCCGGGGAGGGTCTATCCGGCAGCGGGAATCACCTCCAGGTGCCGAGTCGTAGCAGCAGGAGGAGGAAGAGGAAAAAAGAACGGGAACGTGAGCAAAAGAAGGACAAGGAGCACCAGGTAAGGACATCATCTCTTTTTCTACCCTTTACCTTCTGAATCCTCTAAAACCTCCTCTAAAATGCATTCAATTTCATCCTTTAAATAGCCATTTAAATAACCAAATTCCCTTTTATATACATAATTTTTTCCTGTCTATATGTCAGTGGGGAAATTGAGAGCATACGGGAATTACATCGTGGACATCGGGAGATTGTATGATTATTAGCCACCGTGACCAAACTCCATGACAAATTGCCTCTTGCCTCGGCCTTTAGTTTATAGTTCACTATCGACTTGATTGCTGCATGGTTTGGCTTAGCTGGTTGAAACCCAACCAGGTGTGTAAGGGGCAGGATCCAATGTAGAAACCTCCTGACTATATAACAAGTACTTAGTAGTTTTCGGAAAGTATCCATAGCAAATGTGATATTTTCAGCTTGTTATTTGAGGGGATCTAGAGTCTATGGAGAGTACAATAAAATTTCTTCACAAGGATTCAAACTTTTAGTTTATTCTGTGTGTCTTCAAACGTTTAAAGTCCATGTCATTGATAAACTATAAATAAGCCCTTGAGAAGATTGGAATTATAATTTGACTAATGTGACTTTATTCTTGTTTGATTGCTGGGAGTTTTTCCTACAAAAATTCATATTTGTTGTTTATAAAAACGCTTATTATTTAACATTTGGGAACGATTGCTTAGTATATATACATATTTGTACCATGATTATGATTTCTACTTGAATCTTCTGTCCAGTATCTCGACTTTTTTGCACTTTATTTATATTTAGTGGTAATTTAATTTCTATAGAAGCTCTTTTAGGAAATCCCTTCACTTTCCAACTTAATCATCCTCAGAAAACCTTGTTATCACATAATCTTTCCCAGAAACCAGTCTTGTATACACTTTTTAAAATTTTTATTATTTATTTACGTAACTAAAATTATTATTATATATGATATTTATGAATTAAACTGTCACTTTCCATCTTGATCCTCTCTAAAATTTCTGGTTTATTTTTAATTCTTCCCCAGAAACCCGCCTTATCATACCCTTCTTTAAAACTAAATTTCTTTTTATTCATTTATGTATCTCTATTTAATCCCTCATTCGTTCACTTAATCCTTTCCAGAAACGGTCGCGTCGTGAGGAGGACGACGTGTCCGGTGGGGCGGGCGGTGCCGGTAGCGATGACATGGACGAATACGAGATGATGAACGTGCGCGGCGGCAGCCCGCCGCCCGGAGGAGTGGCACCACCCTCGTCTGGCGGCAGTGGTGGTGGCCAGCGATTCGGCGGTCCCGATTGGGACATGGGCGATGGGCCAGCGGCTGGCGGAGGAGGAGCCGGAGGTGGAGGCTATGACTCGCAGCACGATGCCTACAGCAGCTACGATTCCTATTCCGAGGAGGAGGCGGCATCCGGACCGGGCATGTTGAACCAGCGGCGTCGGATGCGAAGAGAGAGGGAGAAGGATCAGCAGCGAGGTGGCAATAAACGCAAGCGAAGGGATCGTGAGCGCCACGAGGGCATCGGAGCTGGAACAGGGATCACCAAGCGAAATCGTCGGGATTCCGTGGAAGGATTAGGAGGAGGAGGTGGCGGCGGCGGCAGCGGAGGCGGCGCAGGCGGTGGCGGTGGTATGGATAAAATGGGTGGCGGCGGCGGCGGCAGCGGTCGGATTGAGCCCCGCAAACTGGAGCTGTGCAAGTTCTATCTGATGGACTGCTGCGCCAAGCGGGAAAAGTGCTCCTACATGCACAAGGAGTTCCCCTGCAAGTACTACTACCTGGGCATGGACTGCTATGCCGGCGACGATTGCCTCTTCCATCACGGCGAACCCCTTTCCGAGCAGCTGCGCAACATTCTGCTCAAGCACATGGAGACGGCACCCAAGGAGATCCTGGGCGATTTCAAGCGCATATCGAGGGACATTGCCATGGGACAGATGATGCGACGGCACGAGCAGTTGTGCGAGCAATTCAAGCGGGAGAACACCTGGAGTTGCATGATGGGCGGTGGCGGTGGTGGTGGCGGTGGCGGTGGCGGAATGGGCAGGCGACAGGATCAGCAACAGCAGCACATGCAGATGCAACATCAGCAGCAACATATGCAGCAGCAGCAGCAGCAGCAACAGATGCAACAGCAACAGGAACAGCAGCAACAGCAGCTGCAGCTGCAACAGCAACAGCAACAACAGGCGGCTGCGGAAGTTGGTGGCTGTATTCCCTCACTTCTGGACATGGTCATCAATCCACCGCATTCAGAGAAGAAGCGCAAGTCCCGCTGGACTGATAAAACGGCTGCCAAGGCGGCGGCTGCAGCAGGTGGAGCAGGAGGAGCAAGTGGAGCAGGTGGAGCAGGAGCAGCTGCATCAGAAGCGAGTAACACACCGTCGGCGGCTGTCAAATCTTTGCCACCACACTTGGACCTGGCCAATCTCAGTAGCGTCTTGAGTCCCGAAAACATGGCCAAGCTGAATAAGCTGGGCATCACGAACCTGGAGCAGATGCTGCAGGTGCCCTTTGGTCAACTAACCGAGGCGGGTCTGACGCTGGGCGAGATTGGCGAGATTCAGCGCAAGGCCGAGGAGGCCAAGCCACAGAACCAAACGGAAACGACGGCGGTCAGGTAAGATTAGCCTAGCTCAGCTTCAAAAAGCTAATCAAGCAGGATGTTTTTGTAAATGCAGTCAGACATTTCTGACCCTTTTGTATATATTCACATCATTACCAGACTTGTGGATCTTGAAGAATTTGTGTGTCCTTCCGTTTCTACTCTATTCTATTTTTATTTTCTATCGCAAATAGTATAACATATATATTTTATAGCTTTTATTTATTTAAAAAAAGGAAACTATGTTGATTTTGAACATATCCGATGTACATATATAAACGAATCAAAAATATGGATTTTATTTAAAAAAAAAATATCGAACGATTTTATCCTATAGATTGCATGGAAGAGATCGAGAAACATAACTTCATTGTTTTTAAACATTTACACATAACTATTGATTTAAATTCGAATATTAAACTGCAAATATAATCGAGTAGAATATATACATATTTATAGTGGCCTTCGGGCTGCTACACTTAGAGAACACAACCAAAATGACTTAAAGAGTATATAAATTATCTGCATTTCAGAATTAATAACCTAAAAAGTGTCAGCATGAACTAAATTTAAGGGAAAATTGCATTAACATGGTTTTTTAACCATATCCCTGTAATTTGTATTACGGTTATTGTTATAATGTTGTTATTCCATAATGTAGATCATTTTGATACCATTTAGATTCGCTGAGTGTTATGTTTGCTTCCTATCTTTCTAACCAATATGTTTACTTTAACTTTTGCGTTTAGCACTCCAATTGCGAAGCCGGAAACGGAGGCCAACAACAGCAATTCCAATAGCAATGGTTTCATCATGGTGGACTATACGCAGTATCTGAAGGATGCACATGTCAGCTTTTCGGGCAACGATCCGCGTGAGTAGATGGGATTATTTCAAGTTGAAACTTAATTTAAAAAATAATTGGGAAAGCGTTCAGGAGATATACCTACATATATGTATATAAACTATGTGCAAATCCAAAATTTACTAAAACTTTTCTAAAAGTATTACATTTAGAGGAAAACAAAGTTTTACATAAAACCATATATCAAAAACATTTAAAAATAAATGGCCAACAATTATATTTTGTATTTTTTGCTACAACGCCAATTGAGACTGTTAAACTAAATTTACAAGCTAAAACATTTAAGTATTCAAGTAAATTCTGACCAAAAAAACATTTAAAAAGCAAAACAATTGAGAAAGAGACTATTTTAGATTTTAAACTATTTGCATATTTTAATTTTATAAGAGATTGAAGGGTTATAAAGCAGCTTAAGATTTACAAGTCTGTAACTTGGATCATTTGAAATTATTGAAACTATCTTAAATAGTAATATTTAGCTTTAAGGCTTTATTTCTTTTCAACAAAGAAATATGTTTAACGCTATAACTCACCCTTATTTATAGTTTAGCTGATTTTAATTGAGTTTTCCATTGCATTTTAGTGGACGACGATCGCGATGATGAAGAGCAACTGGTCATCGACGATGGCAACGAGTCCACCGCCGAGGATGAGCCGCAGTCGAAGCCGACGAAGGCACCGCCGACGGCCGCTCGACAGGATTCGGCCAGCGAGGAGGCGCCCCTGCCCTCGGTGTTCGACTTGCCCAGCTTCATGAGCAACATGCTGGGCCAGGGATCGGCGACGACCAGTCAACTGCTGCCAGCCAGTGCCACGTCGCCCAACCAGGAGCTGCCGCCGTCCATGGCTGGGGGAGATCATCCAGGAGCCGGCCTGAGACCAGTGCCCCGTGGCGGAGGCGGTGGCGGTGGGATCGGGAGTGCCTCCACCAACGTGTTTAGCCGCATTCTGTTTGGCGACAAGCAATCGGATCCCGAGGCCAGAGCGGCTTTCTATCGCGACATCATACGCAATCCCTTCAAGGCGCACAGCGGCGATGGCGATGTGGACTCCAGCAATGAGAACTCCAACTCGAATTCGCGCTCACTGACGCCGACGCCCACGCCGGAGCCGGGTTCGCAGTCGCCCAAGCAGGATGATCATCAGGACAACGATTTGATGCCGGAATTGCCGGCCATTACGGCGGCATTGCCGCCGACCACGCCCTCGCTCTATGTGCGCCCCTCCATGTATGACTTCGATCCAGTCAAGCTGGAGCTGCAGCGGCAGCGGGAGCCGCACCTGGAAGAGGAGCAGATGCGTCAGCGGGACACGGACATGCGGCTGCCGTTCGAGCCGATGAAACACTACATGCCCGCCACCGAGATCGATGCGGCCATCTTCTCGCACACTCCGCTCCGCTGGCAGCTGCAGGAGGTGTCCGTGGAGGAGACCAGCTATGCCCAGATCCGGGCCAGTGCGCTGCACAAGGAGCAGCGGGATCTGCGCGATCCACGCTTGCGTCGCATATTGGGTTTGCCCGATATACCCGATAATGGTGGACTTTTGGGCTCGACAACTGCGCCGGGCGGGGGCTCCTGCCTAGCGGGTGACTCCTTTGGCCGCTCTGGGGCGAGCATAGCCTCGCCCGAATCGGAGACCAGTGCGTTGCGTGATGCCACGCCCAGTTCACCGCCGCCCTCGGCGGCACTGGCCCATCTGCCGCCGATGAGTGTGCCGCCGCCATCGATGAGCGTGCCACCGCCGAATCTGCAGCTGGAAAAGCCACCCGTGCGAACGGATCCACGACGCGATCCCCGGCGAGCCCATCTTCAGGCTCAAAGTCAACAAGCCGCTGCCGCTGCTGCTGCTGCTGCTGCTGCTGCTGCTGCCGCGAATCCCAGTCCATCAACCACAACCAATGCCACTGGTGGCAGCAAACAAATCTCCGAAATCCGCAGCCTCATGCAGAACTCCAACTGGTACAAGAACCTGGGCAGCAACAACAAGATCATGGTGAATCAGCAGCTTGCGCTGGTGTTCACCGAACTGAAGAAGTTCCATCAGCTGCCCGAGGATGCACCGAAAATCTTTGATGTCGGCTTTATTGTGAACAATGCCACGTTGCAACAGATCTTTGCCAAGCTCTACATCTTTGTGGATGACAATGGGCAGGTGGTGCAGATGCCAGAGGAGAATAATGGAGGTGGCTGTGGTGGTGGTGGTGGAGGTGGTGGTGTTGGTGTTGCAGGAGGATTATCAGCAGTAGTAGGAGGAGGAGGCGGAGGTGGAGGAGGTGGAGGTGGAGGAGGAGGAGCTGGTGTGGTGCTGCCCAATCTATCGCAGCCACCACCGAATCTGGCCCAAATGCTTAGGATACCGCCGCCAAATATACGCATGCTACGCATGTCCGGAATGATGATGCAAATGGGCAATCTGGGACCGCCCTTCAATCAGCCACCGCCGCGCGCTGGATTGCTGGGAATGCTGCCAGGCGGCAATGGAGGAAACCAAGGAGGAGGCGGACCAGGACCAGTGCCCAATGGCAATCCCTTCAATCCCTTTTCAGGCGTCGGACAGGGCAGCAATGGCAATGGAGGAGGAGGCGGCATGAATCCAATGGGCAACATGGGTAACATGGGCGGCATGCCCTTCAAGAACTTCAACAATGGGAACAACAACGGGGGCGGCAGAGGTGGCAACTTTCCAAGCGGTGGAGGAGGAGGAGGAGGACCAGGTGGAAATGGCAATCGCAATCAGCGGGGCGGCAATCAGCGGAATCGCAACATTTAGGAAAGCGAAACCAAGCAGCCCAACCAAAACAAAAGACTTGTTATGCCAAAATGATGTCCATGTTATATGCCCCCATGACCCTTTCACCCCCAACCATAACCACCAACCCCCGCCCCCCCCAAGTTGTTTATCCCCAACCATTTTCTATAGAAAATCCGGGCTTCGACTGCTTTGTACATTGTATTCTATATTACTTAAACCCAAACCATCAACCCTCGCCCTTCCCCCCCGCCCCAATCATTGTCACTAATTTTTTTTGGCTAGGTGTAAGGAAAACCCTTTTAGCACTACTACGTACTGATAAATGTAGTTTTAGCCGACTAGAAATCGAAAAATCAGAGGAACAGGAACAGAAACAGAAACAGAAAATTAAGTAAAAATTGGTATGCGACCCTTTTTACCGAACATTTTTGAATAATGTAGGCTAATTTGTTTATTTGTACATGTACTACTTGATAAACTAGACATACAAAACTACAAATAAATGACATGTTTTAAGCAATGCAGTGAGAATTATAGCAATGCTAGGCCCTTTCAAAAGTGCAGGGTAAATTTTGATTTGTTTAATCAGAGCGATAAGTAAACTCGAAGTTTTGGGGGAACCCATTATCACATTGGCTTACAGTATGCATTTATTTTTAATATGCTTAAATTTGAAACGGATTTTAATTACTGCTTATTTTGTTTGATTTATCTCATAGCTAATATAGCCATGGAGAGAATTTTTAATTTTCTGAAAATTTGAATTTAATTTTGCGCGCGCAAAAAAAAACAATTGTGTTATCGATGTTTATTTGGTGTTTTTATGTTTTAAAGAAGCGGTCATTCTTTTCCTATCGATGTTTTTGGCGGAAAACATCAAAGTTTAATCGATATTTGAAAAAACGTTCAATTGTTTCCCTCGAATTTGGTGAGAATACAAAAAAGGCGGTTGTTTACTTCACTGCAACCGTTTGATATATGTATAATTTAGTTAATTTGAATTGAATTCTTTCAAACTTTACCTTTGCGGTACAAAAATATAAACAACGTTACTACGTCAATTTATTTTATATATATTTATAATATGTATGTATTATGAAAATATTAAACTTCAAAAGAAAGATTTTAAGAATTTGAAATTTAATTACGTTACATTAACATTTACATTACATTTACTGAACTCTGCTTGTCGCTGTACTGTACGATCATCGATGTTGGCATCGAAATGTTAGAAAAGCGTCGACTAACAGAAAGAGAGAGTAAAATATCGTAAGAGGCGGATAAACATCGATGACATCGTTGATTTCATCGAAGTCTGGCCACCTCTTGCGGTGAAATTGTGTGCCTGTGGTGGATTTGTGTTTTATAGTGAACTAACAGCGAAATTTTAGCTAAACGTCGAACTAACAGCGAAATGTTAGCCTGACGTCGAACTAACTTACAGAGAGATGGACGTTTAAACATCGATAATCTCTGTTAAAAATCGATATAACCGATATTTTGAAGACATCGATGCCATCGATGATTTCATCGAGGTCTGGCCACCTCTGCCGCTTTGTTTTGTTGTTGTCGACCTGCACAAAAATTCGAATTTCCGAGCGCATTGCATTCAATCCGAAGCGCGGCTCGCGAATTTTTTTGTATTTTTTTAAGTTGAAATGTATTATTAATAAGAGTGGCGGTCAACTACAGTACTTGATGTGCAACCAACAAAAGGCTATATTAAAAGTGCTAAACAAAATTAGAAGCGACGCCAGCGGGCGAAAAGGAGAGATAACCGAAAACGAAAAACACGACAAAAGCAACTTTGAAAGAGAGTAAAAAATGATCGAACCGTAAATTTAAATGTATGCCAGTACATAATATATTTAATAATATGACCAAAACAAATGCCAAGTGAAGAACTTAAAAAAAAGTAAATAAATGATCTTGGCCCGTTGTTGCTGTTGTTTTTGGGTATTATCGCGTTCTTGTTATTGTTGTAACTCGTTTTTTAGTGCGCGCGTGTATGAATCACACCAACACAAACAATAACAACAGCGATGCGATACGGTGAAATATGCTAAGTAAATAACGAAAGAGAGTTAAAGTTTCCAGCAAGAGAGAGATCGAGCGCGAGAGGGAGCGCCAATACAGATACAAGTACATACTGGAAAACGATCCTTTTTCCAGGCACGCAGGCATCTCGCTCGCACCCATGCCGCCCTAGACCAACTTTTGTTGCAGCTGCCTAACAACCAACAACAAAGTGCAAAGGAGCAAGGGAGACAGCTGGAAAAAACGATGATGATGATGATGCGGTCGCAGCAACGACAACAAGCTGCTGCAGGCAGACGAGCATAAAGTACAACAACAAAAATTCCTAGCTGAAAACAAAATTAATAATAGGCTAAATTCCGAAAAATAATTAAAATCAAACGAAAGAAGAGGAATAAACGATCTGCCAATTTAATCAAGTGAATGTGTGTACAGTGCGAAAAGAAAGTGCATTGCAGCGATCCAAAAAATATATATAAATATATATATCCGAAAGAGATAATAGTTATTACTAATACGAAAAGTACGAAAACGAAATGAAGGTCACCGTCTGCTTCGGCGACGTTCGCATTCTGGTACCCTGCGGTTCCGGAGAACTCCTCGTCAGCGATCTCGTCAAGGAGGCCACGCGACGCTACATCAAAGCAGCCGGCAAGGTAGGATCTTTCCTATATAATACCATCAATAAGTATAATGATAATAACCTTAAATCTACTATAATTAAGGTATATAGAGGGGGAATTCGTGCAACATAAAAATATGTTTAATAATATTTGGCGAACCTATTAGGTACGATATTTATATTCCATATAACACCATCACTAAATATCATTAATGACAACAAAATCTCTAGATCGCAGTGTCTTCTCATTTTCGTCAATAATATTTTTCCAAATTATTTATGGTATCTATGTATAATATCCAAAATTATAAAAACTTGCAAACAGAATAACAAAAGAATTTCTTATTATTGTGAAATAAGAATTTCTATTGTTACAGTAAAAATTTTAAACTTAAATAAATTATCGGTAATTTAATTTATGTAGAAATTGGTGCTCATATATTTTATTGGATTTTTTAATATGCTGGTTACCCACCCCAGAAAAAATGCTGACAAAATGTGAATAATTATGCCAATAAACCCAATAACATTTTTTTTATTGTCAAGATTGTATAAATATTTTACCTTGTCGCTGTTTATTTTTATGAACTAAATACTTGTGATAATAACTCATTTCGCTTTGACGAGTAAAAAGCTTACATAATTTTTTTACTTGCACATACATTTAATTAAAAAGGAAAGTGTCGTTAATAAAGTGTTATAAACGTATAATTTGTTAAACAAGTGTGTCCCACTGTAAATGGGTTTAAGCAAAGGTGGTTAATTTTGGTTTTAGGTAAATAAAAATAAAAATGCCTACAAATTTAACTAGTATAACAAATGAATCTTTTGACTGTATTTCTTGAGAAGTTCCCAGCCAGCATTCACTGTAATTGGACGACCAAAAAACCTACTCCGTCATTTCTCCCGCAGTTCCGTAAACAATTTTTTCAAGAGCGGAAACTCTGCACTTGAGAACGATGTAATTACTTGAGAAAAAAAAACCCAAAAAACTAGAATTAAACCGAACAAGAAAAGGTTCTTCAACGGCGCTTATCGTGTGATGGGGGCAGTGAGGCAGACAGATAAAGCGAAGATCGAAAAGAAGGGGACCAAAAAGAAACAGAGCCTAGGTAAAATATTTGAATAATGATAAGCTCCTCGACGAAGCCATAAAAACAAACCGAAAAAAGTGAGTGAGTGACACAGAGTGAAAAAGAAAACAGCGCGAGATGATAACAACAACCAACAAATCGAAGAAGAAAGAGGAGAACTGAACTGAACTGAAACGAAGAACAGAAGACTCGAATTATAATAAAAGTCAGTCGAGAATCAAAAGAACATTTTTATTTCTTTTTGAACTCGTTTGAACCCGATTTCAATCTTCGCCGGGGCGAGGCAACAGGTAACCCCCAAAAGGCGAACTGAAAAAGGGTCGAGAAATGCACTTTACAGGGCGAGAGAGTGGGACCTTAATTAATCAGAAATAACATCTGAAATTCGTTGGGGTCCTCTATAATTAATCAAAAGTTCAAGGGAGGGGCTCTTCCTGATTCTACTTGAATTTTCCAGGGAAAATTCTGATTCGAAATCAATTTTGTTGCGCGGGGGTTCCTTTTCTTTTTGTTGTTTGATAATGATTATGAGTTGTGTTTTTTTCTTTGCTTGCCGAAACGATTAAGTCATTATGTAGATGGGTAGCGCCCTGGGAAATTGGAACAACTTCCTATAAGAATTTTAAAGATTTTTGAAAGAGTGTGTGAAAGATTCTTACAGGAAGTTTGATAAATTACACCAACCCTTGGAGAACAAAATGTTAGACGATCCTCGGTTTTAAAAAGCGTAACTTTGCTAAGTTCTAGATGGTTGTGGCTAAATATTAAGGCTTTCTTAATTTTATACAATTAACAAATTTAAAAAGAACCAATTAATTATTATAATTACTTTTTAATATTAAAATAATTATTTTTATTAATATTTTTTTTTGTAATAAATACGTTTTAAAATGAACTATCCTCATAAACGTCATAATTTGTTTATTGCAACCTAGAGAAAATGCTCCACTAATTAGGCGTTTTCCCCAAACCATAAATAGTCCGAAACCGAAGACTTCTGCTCACCTGACGAGTGCCCTGGTGGATTTCCGGTGTTATTTCGGAGCCTGGCGGGGATCGGGGCTTGGAAATGGCAATGGGGGACCTGTGTGCGGTGCTTGATCTGTTGCAACGTGTGTGAATTTTAGTTTGCTTTCATTGTCTGGCCAAAAGACGAAACTGTGTCAGCTGCAATTAAGTGCAAAGAAAAAGGGGAAATAAACAGATCAGAGGGGGCAGAGGTTTTGCTACCAACAGATAAGACGCTTTCCATTTCGCGATCACGTGCGCCGCCCGATTCCAGACCAAAAAAACCCCAAGCAAACCACCAACAAATTCAACTTGCTAATTATGCAAGTTACTGCTTCCCCATGCAAATGCAATTGCGGAGAAAATAGCAGTTTAAATAATTCCTCAAATGTTTTTAACACGTTTTCAAAATTTTCCTTTATATGTTGATGTTATGTAAATTCCACTTTATTCTTATCTTTGTAGTGAACTTATTTACCATTCTTTATTATTTTATGTCATACAGAATGTTATTTAATTATTTTTTTTCAACTGCATTATTTTGATCCCTTTTTAAAATGAAATAACAATACAGTTGCTTATAATTTCACCTCCACTGTATACTCATTTTGTTTTTTGCAAGATCAACGAAATCAAATGACTTGCAGCTAGCTGCACTTCAAATTCTTCGGCCACATGAGATACTTTTGTATTTTTTATTTATTTCTACTATTCCGAATCCAATTTTTTTTTGCAGCTGTGCGATCGCAGTTTTTTGTT